AAGAACACCAGTGCCACTTTTCAGCGGCTGGTGAACAAGGTATTCAAAGAATAGCTCGACCGGAATGTAGAGGCGTATGTCGACGATATGCTCATGAAGAGAAAGAAAGTCGAGCATCACTTGGCCAACCTTCGTGAAGTCTTCGACACCCTCAGAAAATACAAGATGAAGCTAAACCCAACCAAGTGCGCTTTTGGGGTTGGCTCCGACAAGTTCCTAGGGTTCATGGTGACACAGAGAGGGATCAAAGCGAATCCGGAGAAGATAAAGGCCATCCTTGACATGCCATCTCCCCAGACCCATAAAGAGGTGCAACAACATCGGAAGAATAGTTTCCCTTAGTAGATTTATGTCCAAATCCACAGATAGTTGTCTCCCTTTTCTCAAAGCCCTTAAGCGGCCAAAAGATTTCCATTGGACAGAAGAGTGTGAGCAGTCTTTCTAGGATCTGAAGCAGTATCTGAGCTCGCCGCCCCTCCTAACCAAGCCGAACCTAGGGGACGAGCTATTGCTCTACCTCTCGATTGGAGATGTGGTCATCAGCTTGGTACTAATTAAGGAAGAAGATCAGGTGCAGAGGCCGATCTACTACACCAGCAAAGTCCTCAGCGGCGCAGAGACTCGGTTCTCCAACCTAGAGAAATTAACCTTAGCTCTCATCACAACCGCCAGAAAGTTCAGACCCTACTTTCAGGCCCACTACATCCGAGTACTCACCGACTAGCCCCTTAAGCAGATACTACAAAAAGGCTGGAAGTATTTGGCTACCTAGTCAAGTGGAGCGTGGAACTAAATGAGTTCGACATTGAGTACGCACCCCGACCGGCAGTCAAAGCTCAGTCCTTGGCAGAATGTACATTCACCACCGAGGAACCAGCCCCGCCGCCCCCAGTATGGACCCTGCACGTAGATGGATCGTCAAACCAACAGGGCAGCGGTGCCGACCTCATCCTCCTCGGCCCAGACGATGTAGTGCTGGAACACGCCCTCAGGTTCAAGTTCAAGGCATCCAACAATGAGACCGAGTATGAAGCCCTAATTGTTGGGCTCCGCCTTGCCTTGGACCTCAGGGCCCGAAGAATCAAGGCCTTCAACGACTTGCAGCTAATGGTCAACCAAATCCATGGCCAGTTTGAGGCTCGGACCCCCTCCATGGCGAGTTATCTACAAAATGTGCAGGAGCTCACTCAGCAGCTCGATCATTTCAATATTCAGTAGATCTCTCAAGCCAAGAATACCTGACCAACGCCCTTTTGAAGCTAGCCAGCTCGCCGCAGACCGACCTTGACTCGATTATACAACTGGATACACTAGTTCAGCCAAGCATCGCACCAACGACCCTTCTTATCCTCCCAGTATAGCATGACCCATCCTGGATGGGCCCCATAATCAAGTATCTTTGAGAAGGCGCTCTCCCAGAAGATCGAGCAAAAGCGAAGAAGCTCCTACACAGAATAGCCCGGTATTGCCTTATCTAGGGCCAGCTCTACCGCCGCTCCCACACTCTTCCATACCTGAAGTGTCTCCCCCCAACCAAAGTAGATTACGTCCTCAGGGAGATACATGAGGGCATTTGCGGAGATCACCCCGGTGCGCGCACATTGGCCCATAAGACACTTTGATAAGGCTACTTCTAGCCGATGATGAAGCAGGATGCCACTCAATTAGTTCGGAGGTGCGATAGTTGCCAGTGGCACTCTAATCTCCATTACCAGTTGGCGGCCCCTCTGAAGCCAATCACCAGCCCATGGTTGTTCGCCCAATGGGGAATGGACATCCTCAGCCCCTTTCCCCCCTCAATTGCACAGAAGAAATTCCTTCTTGTAGCAGTGGACTACTTCATGAAGTGGGTGGAAGCCAAACTCTTGGCACGCATCACCGCCCATAATGCCCGGAACTTCTTCTGGCTGGGTATTGTCTACCGCTTCGGCATCCCTCACGTGCTCATCACGGACAATGGGACGCAATTCACCAATAAGAAGTTTGAAGCCCTCTGTGTCGATCTAACGATTGACCACCGGACTACTGCAGTACACCGGCCTAGAGTAACGGGCAAACCGAGGCAACCAACCGAACACTACTACACGGCCTGAAAACGCGCCTAGATCAAGCCAAGGGAAGGTGGGTCGAGAAGTTGCCGAGCATACTCCCGGCATACACGACGACCCCGCGGACCGCCACCGAAGAAACCCCTAACCTACGGGGTCAAGGCCATAGTCCCCATGGAGATAGGTCCCCCAACTATTTGGATCGAGCTATTCAAAGAGGGCAGAATGACGAAGATCTACGCACAGAATTGGACCTAGTAGAAGCCCGGGACCGAGCACATGTAAGAATGGTCGCACAACAACAGAGGATGGCAAAGCACTACGACTCCAAAGTCAGAAGACGCGAATTCAAGACAAGTGACTTCGTCCTACGTAGAGTCATAGTCCTTGCACCCGAAGAAGGCAAGCTCGGACCAAACGGGGAAGGGTCGTACAGAATCACCAGGGTTCCTGGACCGAGCACTTATAGACTCGAGGACCTTGAAGGCCGATCAATACCGGGGAGTTGGAACTCGGGAAATCTCAGGATGTACTACTGGTAGATCTACAAGCAATAAAAGTTTATTTTTTTTTCAAGTTATATCTCCGGCCCCAGGCACATACACGCTCACCGCACACACTACACATGCACAGGCCAAGCCGCACTACCGACCAAGTTGACTCCGCCAACCCCAGAACGGCCAGCCCATAACGCCTAGTTTGGCAGCATATCACCGACTAAGCTACCTGACTCAGTTGACCACAACTAAGCCTAAACGTAGAGAAAGAACGCCCCCGCCCATCGAGGCCTGAGGGCGGTCGTGGAACTCCGCACAACCACCGAGTAACAATTGAGCTAGCTGGGAAATGGCTAGCCGTAGAAGGGCCCCAAAGGCTCCCGAGACCAAAAACTGAGCACCCCATGGCTAAGAGCTCAAAAACTGAAAGATCTCGGTCAACCACACCTCGGTCGGCAGAAGGTTGAGGACGCCGAGGCATAGCCCGACCAGCCATGCCTCGGCCAGCAAAAGAAAAATGCACAAGTAAAAAGAATGCGCAACAGCAACGGGACACACATACATAGTCAGCAAAAAGAACTTATATTCAATTTTAAAATGGTCAGGTACATCGTTTAAGGCTCGGTATGTCGAGCCGATAAAAAAAAAGGAGAGAAACCAACACAAAAAAAAACACAACTTGGAAGAAATAGTCGCTCAATCCTCGGAAACAGAGTCAGCAGCCCCTTTAGTAGCGTCAACCTCGTCCACGACCTCTTCGTTGGCATCCTTGGGGGAACCTGGGGGAGTGTTTGGACCACAAGCTCCCCAGCCCTGCGACACCTTGGTCAGCTCCGGGTACTGGCGAAGGACCCTTCGGCGGAAGACGTTAAATCCAGCCTCGAAGGAGGCCTCGACGTACTCGTCCATTTGCAGCTTCATCTCTTCCGATGCCTTGTACTAGTCAATTGCCTCCTCCGCAGCGTCCTGCCTCAACCTCTTCCGCTCCGCCTTAAGCTCAGTGGTCTCTTGCTTTAGCCCCCGGACAATACTGGCCTGCTTGAATAGCTGTGCCTTCAGCTCAGCCACCTCCCTCTCTAGTGCGACCGACCGCTCCCCAACAGCTTGAAGCTCAGTTAGATGGGCCTTCTGCCATAGATACTCGGAGTGTTCTCGCTCGTACATCGATCAAAGCTCCCGGAGACGATTGACCAACGTGACCGCCGCACAAACATTGTGCAAAAGAGAATGATGAGTATACACAAAAAAAAACGCAAAGGATAAGAAAGAAAGAAACTCACCTGGGCAGCAAACTGCAGAAGTGCGCACTCTAAAGCTCCGCTGCCGCACCCTTAGAGAAAGTGAGGAATGAGAGAATCAGGGGAGAAAAGAGAGAGAGAGTGAATGTGAGATCTGAAAAGGGAATAAGGGATAGGAGAAAGGAAAAAAGGTTTAAGAAAAGATCGGAGGAGGAATAAGAAAAGTCATAAGAAATTCTAAAATAGAGTCCACTTTTTATTTATTCTATAGAATACTACTTATTATTATTGATGTAATAAGAATCCACTCTCAAAAATGAAAATTAAAAAAGAGTTCCACCATTTTTTTCAACTTGTGGAAATATGGAAACTTCACTAGTCACGTGGGACATGCTTTTTTGTTTTTTTATTTTCTTCAGAAAACTGCCTCAGCCCTCGAGTAAAAGATCCTTTTAAGTTGTTCTTATCCTAAGCAAATTAAGCATAAGAGGGTGAATGTGCTTATTGAATAAATAAGTGCTTATAGAATAAATGTTTATCGTAATAAGCGCTTTTGAGTGTTTGGTGAAAAAATACTTTTTTAAATGAGATAATATAGGTATTTTGAAATTTACATGACCCATCATCAAGTTCAGACAGAAATATAATAAGCACTTTTGTCCAAAAAAGCACTTGAAAGAAAAAATCAAAATTTTCAACTTATTCAAAAATGGGCTTATTTCTTGACAAAAGAAAACACTTATTTGGGCTTATTTCCCCAATGCATATTAGTTGCTTATTGGTGTGATCTCGGCCTATATAAGGATTTTTTTCAGTAAGTGTTTAAAAATAAGTACTTATCTCCCTTTTGGTATTTTAACAACAAAAAAGAGATAAATCTTTAAAATAAAGAATGTAAAATGCAGCCTAATACAATTTGATTTTGACAGTTTGAGATTTTATCAGCTTATTGGGTTGACGTAGTGGTCGAACCATCTAACCAATGACGCAATAGCCCTTCCCTGTAAATTTGACAACATTGATGCACACATAATCCTCAAATTATTACATCAATTTGTTTCTCTCTTTATAAAACTTGTTTTTAATAAAAACGAGTGAATGAATAAATAAATAAATAAAACTGTTTCTTCTATTGAAAAAAACATAAAATACAAATCCAAACCTATAAAAACAAAAAAGTTTAATGTGTTCAAAAATCAAAACCAGTTCCTAGCCGCGTCATGAGGTTCAGATTTGTGCTTGGACCCGGAAAAGGATATTGAATTATTGACACAAGGGGGGGTTTATCAGCAGCTTTGTCCCGTCTCTAGTGCTTGATGGGCTTTGTTTGATTGGCTGCTGCTGCAGCTGCTATGGGATGATAACAGATCAGATGTTTGAACTTTAAATCATGGATCAACTCTTAAGCATGGCCCACTCGCTTCTGGATCTGGCCCATTAGAAACCGCTCTCTTGATTGCCAGAAAGAAAGAAACGTCCTGGATCCTCAACTCAAGATTAAAGAACCAGGTGAGGAGAGAGAGAAGCAATCTGCACCTGAATAGCCAGTCATTCATGGCTTCCATGACTTGCACTCCCGCATTTTTGTCTTCACCCACACAAAGAAGATCAGCCATCTCCTCTTTCGATTCTTCTGTAGCTTTATACCCAAAACCCCCAAAATCTTGCCCCTCCACTTCGGTTCCTCAACTGGGTCTTCGTTTGTTTTCGCCATGGAATGGTTTGAGACATCTGGGTATTTCTATTAGACAGAACTCTGTAAAAATAGGTACTCTTTTCCATTTGGTTTCTTCTTTTAGTATTACTCTTTAGTTGGTTTACTTTTTACATCCCCCCCCCTTTTCTGGTCTAGTTTTTCCTTTAGGGTAACTTTAAATACGATTGTTGTTTACTTCTGGATTTCTTCTTGATTAATTCTTTTAGTTTGTTTCATATTGGGCATTTGTTTGGTAACTTTATAATTTTTATATTTAATTTTACAGAAATAAAGAGAAAGGGTAGAGGTAAGGTTGTCTATGCTTCCCTTTTTGGTGTTGGAGCTCCCGAAGCTCTGGTTATTGGAGTGGTGGCTCTGCTGGTCTTTGGTCCCAAGGGACTTGCTGAGGTTAGTTGTTTGAGGCTGCTGACATTTTTTAGCTACAGTTCCCTCTATCTTATTCCCATTATTGACATGTGTGTAACAGTAAATTTACTTTGAAGTAAATGAATCCATTTTCTTTTGATTTCAAGCTCTCGATTAAGTTACCTGCATGCAGGTAGCTCGGAATCTAGGAAAAACTTTGCGTGCTTTCCAACCCACAATTAGAGAGCTTCAGGTAGGTGTACAAAGTTAAATTCAAGATGTGTAGCCCTTTGCAGTCTTGCTCCTCCGAGTAAACATTGACATCCTTTATGCTGAACTTACTTTTAGGTAGTCTCAAGGGAATTCAAGAGCACTCTTGAACGGGAGATTGGTCTGGATGATATTCCAAATTCAATGCAGAACACATACAGCTCCACTCCAAGCAATGCTACATCCACTTCATCAAATACCAACAGCAAGAGCTCTCAGGCTGTAGTTGATCCCAGTGAGTAATTTGGCATGTTCAATATCTAGTAGGAAATGAATAGATTTTGCATTTCTTCAGCTGCAATTACCAGGTGGGGATCAATGGATAAGGTCTCTAAGTCTTGTTTGTAAATTTATTTATTCTGCAATATCGTTTCTTTTCTTTTCATTAAAAAGCTCGATCAATGTGTGGTTCTATGATTTGTAGTAATTTGTGCTTGAATTGCAAAATTGGGGAAAAAAGTCAAGGGCATCTTATTTATAGTAACTTAGTAGGCCTCAAAGAAAAGTCTGTAATGTTGACCAGGTTGTTTGTGGTAGGTGAATTAAAATCCTTGTTAAATAAGGAAATAGGGGCAGAGAACCTCCCATGCAAGTCTTAAAATGATTGATGAACTATACAACATCTACAACAGATAGTGGGGGGAATGAATAGAAAGGGAGGGGCTCTGTAGAAAGCAATTCCGCTAGAAGTGCTGTGGTTGACTTGGAAGGAAAGAAACAGAAGGATCTTCGATCAAAAATAGCTTCAGGTTGAAAGGGTGATAAATTTAATTGTTGATGAACTTAGAGGGTGGCTGAACTCCAACTTGCTTTTCAAGGGGGATATTCAGGCTTCTTGTGTGGCTGTTAATTTTTTCTGAGTTTTCTTAAAGTTATCCTCAGTTGTATTTCTCTCTTGTACAGTGAGCAGTTTGTTTGCTTTCCTCTGATCAATAAAACTTTACTTTACCTTTTCAAAAAAAAAAAAAATCTACAACAGATAGAATTATGAATCTGGTTCCAGCTCAAAAAATAATACCATTCCAATCACAAGAAAAAGGATTAAAACTCATTCATTGAAAATCTTCTAAAAATGATGACAAAAAGTAAATAAGATTTTCGATTTTTCTTATTTCTTCCACCCCTCCCCTGCTAAAAAAAGCATACGCAGATTGCAAAAGGTGTAGGATTCTATAAAATACTGCTTTTGCTTTCTGAATTCCCTGTGCTGGCCAAGAAACAATGAGAGAAAGCAGGCTTGCTGGAGTGACCTACTTCTAGGGCTGGAACTTGGGTTGGCTTGGGTTGGGATTTTGTTAAAGTTTTAATGGGACTGGCCCGGAAACCCAGGCCCGGTGCAGTGCAAATTCTTGAAATCGGGTGCCCCATTTGCACAAACTGTTTAATGGAATGTCACCAAATCCCACATATTCTATTGCGTTGTCCTTCTTACTTGTGAGATTTTTCTTCTTTTTCCCCAAGGGTTTACAATGAGAACATACAAAAGTTGTGATGGGAAACAAGATAATCAATGGTTAGAATCTTCCCCAAGAAATCTGTCCATATGAAAAATGGCACCTCAGATGGTATATTTGGTACCAGATTCATTGCCAAGGAAGAGGAATTTTAAGTCTTCAAGACTTCAACAAAGACAAGAAACATGATTTTAACAAGGAAATGCCATTGGGATCATGATCCCAGACCCTTTCTTCATTTCTAATCTTAACACATTTAATGCAAGCCAGGAGGTTCACAAGGATATCAGCTTCCTGATTATCATGATCCCATAAAATTCTTTTGTTGTTATTTCTTTTGCGATCATTATATTGCATGGTGCTGAGAACTCCTTTAAGATATGATTCCCACCCCAGTTAGCATTCCAAAGCCACATATGGTTGCCCTTACTCAAGAAAAGAAGAAATAGAAAAATGAAGAGGCCCTCCTCTTTTTCCATTCCCTTCTCCTCCCTTCAAAGTCCTTGGATCTTTTGTATTTCAATATTAGACCCTAAAATAAAATATTGGTAATATATACAGCAGAAGATAGGATGTATCAACCCTTATTATAATAAGATGCATCCCTAGTGATAAAATTGCAACAAGGCATCTGCCTTGTTATTTTTGTTGCCTAGGAGGTGCCTTTGAACACCTGAATTATCTCATGGCATTAGGGCTTAGTACCCATATGACACCTTGTCACCTAGCAATTCTTTGACAACCATGCAGGGCATTCTTAATCAAAATCAACTAACCAGTTACCACCATTGGGTGGATAGGGTTTCTTCTAACCACCTTCTCACCTAGCAATTCTTTCTTAAAATGCTCCATCACATCCCATATATCATGGGATCTATAGCTAGCACATAGAGTAGAGGGAGTCCAACATAACTTGCAAGTCTTACCTACAAACAACCACAAGTATAACGCCATGTACCTGCTAAATCTGCTACTTGAGGAAACTCCTCTACTGCAAAAAAAAAAAAAAAAAAAAAAACTTCATTCTTTATACTTGGATGATCAAGCTGAACTATGTGGTTGCGACATTGTTAAAACTTGTTTACACGATCATAAAGAGAAATGGGATATTGAGGTTTTCAATTTCAATTTTTCATCATTCAGCTATCAGCATCGACACCATCACTGTTCTTACAAATGGTAAGAACAAAGAAATGTAGCTTTTTGTTAAGATCACCTACACAATCTAAGATTCCTCAATATCTGTTAACAAAATTTGTACAAAGAGGATTGACTGCTTGTTAAAAGGTTGTTTATAGGCTGTTTGTCTTTTGTTTTTACTTCTGTTTAGTATTGCAGGGGTACTATTGTAATTCCTCCTCTTTTATATTATGTTATGGTCGCCCTAATATAAATACAAAAAAGCTAGCGCCGCCAGCACTGAGTTTTGCTCACAGATCTCTCTTTTCTCTTTTTTTTTTTGATAAGTATCTTTTCTCCTCTTCCTTCTCTCTTCTCTTTTCTCATGGTATCAGTCTATCAGAGCAGGCCCATTTGATCTGAAAGGAGATCGAGAAAGCACTCTTTTGTCTTCTCCCTTCACTTGCTGCTGAATTTTTTCTTTGAAGAACCAAGGTAGATCTTTGGACTGATCTCAGAAGCTTCTCTCGTCCTTTTTTTTTAATTTTTTTCCTGATCGTGTATCAAGACAAAACCAAAACAAGGGGATCGATCAACTGGTGCGAGGTGATCAGCACCTGTACCTTCCTTTTTTGTAGGATCGAGTGATCCTTGTGGTGGTTGTAGGTCAGAGGTGACCTGTATGTACTGTGACAGCAGCTTTGTGGTGTGTTTGTAAGTCGGAGATAACCTGTGTGTGCTGTGACAACAGTCCAGTGGTTAGTTTGTAGGTCAGTGATGACCTGTAGCCTGTAGGTGTCGTAACAGCAGTAAAACATTTTTTTGGTGATTGAAGGACTGTGTTCGAACAATTATAAAAAAAAAAGGACTGTGTTCGAACTAAAAGGTGGTTGTCTCTAGTTTCCTGGTGCATTTTTTTTTCAGAAATAATACAGTGTGTAAAGGGAAACAGGTTGGATTGCATTTTTCTAGTTTTTTTGGAACTCTTTTGAGTGTGATCTGAACCAGTTATTATGAATAGTGAAGATTCTTCCACATCTGGTGTTTCCTCAATGCAGAATGGACTGAGTGGGGGTATGAATTTATCCTTCCCTATGGCTGTCATACCTCTTGATGGTCTCAATTACTTAGAATGGTTGAAGGGGATCAGGTTATACATTATTGCAAGAGGAAATATAGGATATATAAATGGAAGAATTAAAGAACCTAATTTTGGGAGTGCTGAACATGACAAATAGAACTAGGAAAACAGCATGGTGATGTCATAGTTCTTAGTGTCTATGCAATCTCAGGTGAGAAGAAATTTTATGTAGGTTGGAATAGCTTATGAGGTTTGAGAACAAGCAAAGTCAACCTATTCTAAATTGTGCCACTATGCAAAAATCTATCAGTTACAGGCAGAACTCTCTACTTGTAAACAGGGGGAGAGGAGTCTCTCTATGTACTATTCAGACTTGTCTTTCCATCTGGAATGAGTTAGATTATTATCAGAGTGTAGATTGGAAGTGTGATGAAGATGCCAAAGCGTGTAAGTTTCTTGTTTCATAGCAGTGAGTCTTGCCTTCCTCCTTGGCCTGAACCCCATGTATGAATACATTAGAGTATAGATCCTTGGAAGCAAGGATCTCCCATCTATCCAAGAGGTATATGCTCTAGTACAGTCAGAGGAAAGTAGAAGAAATCTATGAATAATTCTAGGGGTGACCTTCATGGGAAGCCAAAATGGCTACTCAAAAAAGGGATTGAGTAAGAAATAGGCTTCAGATCTGAATAAGAAGTTAGGATATCAAGGTTCAAGAAGGCTCACTACAACAAACATGGCTACTCAGGAGAACCATCCCCCAACTACTACTGCAGCTCAGACATACACATCTGGTTCTTACCCTAGGGAGGATGTTATTAATTCTTTCTATGACCATTTAGAACTTTATGGCAGGGAAATTTGTTAGACGGATGCTTCTCCATCAACTTCATATGCGTCTACATTAGGTAATTTTGCCATAGCTCTCCATGTATCATCACATTCCTATGACTCTCCTTGGATAATTAATTCTGGAGTATCAAAACATATGATTGGTAAATCTACTTACTTTCAGACCTATCATCTTCTCTCTAGAAGAGACAAAGTGAGACTGACTAATGGTTCATTCTCTACCATAGCCGGTCAAGGAACCATTCATCTTCCTTTTTGGCCCTACCCTTTCTAATGTTTTACATGTTCCACAATTCCCTATTAATTTGTCTTTTGTTAGTAGTATCACCCATGGTTTTTAAAACCGACCCGGTGACCGAACCGGTCAGGGGTCCAGTTACCAGGTTGAACGGTCCGACCGTTCGAACCGAATGCTCGGCCCATTCTAACAAAAAAAAAATGGTCAAAACTATTTGAACGGTTAACTGCCCGTTTCAGCGGTTCACTGACCAAAATCAATGGTTTTGGGGGGAAATCCGGTTTTTGGGGAAAACGGACCTGACCGGTTCTCGGTTTTTTCGGCCCGGTCCGGTTTTGAAAACCACGGTATCACCAATTCATTAAACTGTTTAGTAACCTTCTTCCCTTCTTATTGTGTGATTCAGGATTTGGCCTCAGGGGAGATGATTGGTAGAAGACGTATGGTGGATGGTGTCTACTTGCTAGAAAATAAGGCTAGTCTCGCAGTCACAGAGACTAAGAGTCATTCTAGTAAGAGTTAGGCCTATTTATGGCACAGTTGTCTTGGCCATTTATCCTTTGATTCCTTAAAGATCGTGCTTCTAAAGTTGTTTAAGTCAGTGTCAATGTCAAAGTTGATATGTCAAACTTGTCGGTTGAGTAAACATTGAAGAAATCATTTTTCTTCAAAGAATAATAAATCTGAATTTACTTTCCATATTGTTCATTTTGATGTTTAGGGCCCAGTTGCTTTACCATTTGAAAGTGGCTACAAGTATTTTATTACCTTTATTGATGACTACTCTAGGTGCACATGGGTGTATTGATTCATATGAATACTTTCATATGAATACTTTCATAATGATCCCACGTAGTTTTTTGCTTCATGTGGATCACTCCACCGTAGCTCCTATGCCCGAACACCACAACAAAATGGTGTAGTTGAAAGAAAGAACCACCACCTTCTTGAAGTGGCTCGGGGATTATTGATTCATATGAACGTCCCCAAACGTTTTTGTCTTGAAGCTATCCTTTGTGCCGCTTATCTCATTAATCGCATGCCCTTTCAATGGTTAGAGTACAATGCCCCACATCAACTTCTGTTTCCCAAGGCTCATCTTTTGTCTATTTCTCTACATGTGTTTGGTTGTCATTGTTTTGTTCAAAACCTGTCACTCACCCATGGGAAATTGGATCCTCGTGCTATTCCTTGCATCTTCTTAGGGTACCCTACAACTCAAAAGGGGTACCGGTGCTTTGATCCCGTCTCTCAAAAATATTATGTTTCTATGGATGTCTCCTTTTTTGAGAGTAAGCCTTTCTTTCCTGTTTCTCCTCATGCAGAGTGTAGGAATGAGGAAAAACAGGTTCAACTTCCTCCTCTGCCTCATATTCATCTCCCTCATTTCCTGGTCCTCCTCCCTTTCATGTTTTTTGCCGCCATCACAAAGGCCAACCAAGTTCAAGAGCTGTGGAGCATTTAGAAGTTGTACCACCAATGCCATCAAATTCTCCGGGAATGGATCCTACCCAACCAAGTACCTTAGTTCCCATTGATATTTCTGACCCTATTGCTATTGATAACCTCCAGTGCTAATGATCTTGACTTCTTATTGCTCGCCGGGTGTTAGGTCTTGCACCACTAAGCACCCCATTTCCCATTTTGTTTCCTATGAAAACATTTCACCTTCCTTTCAGGCATTCCTCTCTTCCATTGACAGTGTTCATATTCCTACTCCTAAGAATGTGGCAGAAGCTCTCTTGGTGCCTGAATAAACAGATGCAATGAAGGAAGAAATTAATGCATTACATAAAAATGGTACATGGGAATTGGTGGATCTTCCTGAGGGGAAGGAACCAATTGGATGTAAATGGGTATTTATAGTAAAACATAGGGTTAATGGCACAGTGGAGCGGTATAAAACTCGTTTAGTGGCAAAAGGGTTCACTCAAGTGTATGGGGTGGATTATGTTGAAACTTTTGCACAAGTTACTAAGATGAACTCCATTAGGGTTCTTTTCTCTTTAGCTGCCAACTTCGACAATAACCTTCACTAACTGGATATCAAGAATGCATTTCTAAATGGTGATCTTGAAGAAGAAGTGTACATGGTACAACCCCTTGGTTTTTGGGATCAAGGTAATGAACAAAAGGTATGCAGGTTGAAGAAGTCATTATATGGCCTAGAACAATCACCCAGAGATTGATTCAACAGATTCCATGTAGTTGTAGAACAAAAAAGGCTACAAACAATGTCAATTTGATTATACATTGTTTGTGAAAAGAGGGGAAGGGAAAATTGCAGCCCTAATAGTGTATGTTGATGATATAATTATAACTAGTGATTGGAAAGATAAAATTAAAAAATTGAAGGGATTTCTTGCTACTCAGTTTGAGGTGAAAGATCTAGGTCCTTTGAGATACTTCCTTGGAATTGAAGTTGCCCGCTCACAAAAGGGTATCTTCATTTCTTAGAGAAAGTATGTCTTAGATCTGTTACAGGATACAAGAAAATTGGGAGTGAAACCCGTTGATTCTCCTATTGATCCTAATCACAAATAAGTGATTGTCAAGGTGAATTCATCAAAGATGTGAAGCAATTTAAAAGGCTTGTAGGAAGACTGCTATATCTCTCCATGACTCGGCCAGACATTGCTTATGTAGTGGGTATTCTTAGTCAATTCATGCATGCCCCTAAGACCACCCACCTTGAAGCAGCTAAAAGAATTCTCAAATATCTTAAGAAATTCCCAAGTGTAGGTTTATTGTTCCAAAAGCACAGGCATTTGAAGGTTGAAGTGTATACTGATGCAAATTGGGTAGGATCATTAGATGATAGAAAGTCTACCAACGGCTACTGTACCTTTGTGGGAGGAAACCTAATCACATGGAGAAGCAAAAAGCAGAATGTGGTGGCTAGGTCTAGTGCTGAAGCTGAATATAGAGCAATGTCTCATGGAGTGGATGAAATAATGTGACTAAAAATGTGTTAAGTGAGCTGGGATTTACAGTTGATGGACCTATGACTTTATATTGTGATAACAAGCAGCCATAAACATTGTTGCTAACCCAAATACTGCATGATAGAACCAAGCACATTGAGGTAAACAAGCATTTTATCAGAGAAAAGGTAGTCGAAGGGGAAGTGTTCACCCCCTATGTCAGGTCTAAAGATCAACTTGTGGACATCTTCACAAAAAGGTTACATCACTTGCGGCATAATGATCTATGTGACAAATTGGGCATGATTGTGACATCCATGTCCCAACTTGAGGGGGAGTGTTAAAAGGCTGTTTGTCTTTTGTTTTTATTTCTGTATAGTATCACAGGGGTACTATTGTGATTCCCCATCTTTTATATTATGTCATGGTCACCCTAATATAAATACCAAAAAAGCTGGCGCCGCCAGCACTGAGTTTTGCTCACAGATCTCTCTTTTCTCCTCTTCTTTCTCTCTTCTCTCTTCTCTTCACTTTCTCTTCTGGATAATACTGCTAAAACTAAAATTAACATAGAAAGTTAGATCGATTCCAAAGAGGTGCTAGTCTGGATAAGAAATGATAGTTCAGTTGGAAGTTCTGAACAATTATGATGGATATAAAAGCCTTGGGAAAGGGCATAATCATGGGAATTCAGTGGGAGCCTAGAGTTGCCAACACAATGGCAGACACTTCGGCAAAACAGGGAGTGAATGGACAACTGTTTTGGGGCACAAATTGGTATTTTAATGTATCATAATAGTTGGGAGTTTAGAGTCTTCTTTGGCTCAGGCCATGTAAGCAGCCTGCTTTGGGGTGCTAGGACCCACTCTTTGTATAATACTTTTGTCACAATTAATAAAATTTTCATGTTATGAAATTTAGATCCTTAATAATGGAAAAACTTGTTTTTTTCTGGAAACAGGGAATGTTGTCGAAGTGTTTTCTCCATACAGTGTTACCAGTGGACTACATTGCAAAAGCTGTAATTACTCGTAGTTTTCATCCAACTGAAATTTTCTAGGTCATTCATGCTGCTGTAAGAATTTGATTTATTTGCATGCATCAAAATCTTATCCATTGCCATGGGCAGATCATCTCAGCAGAGTAGCAGACTTACCAACCTCTGCACTTTTTACTACCCCTTCTCTCAAATATGCTCGTCCATCTCAGCGGTAGTCATTTTATGGGTGCAATCATATGTATGCATGTGTATACAAACACATTTAAAATCACCAGATATTAATTAATCTTGCAATTCATGTCTTTCTTTCTTTCTTTCTTTATCTCTTGCACTGTTACTTGGCATAATTGTATTAGACATTCATTTGAGACATCTCCATTCTTTTGAAGTTGTTTTATCATTTTCTGCAGAGAAAGCTCTTCTTTTCTTCCATTTCATCTTCTTGTCAATGTCATCATTTGTCTCCTCACACATTCACACTTAAAAGGTGCAGTTGGTGGCTTGAATCCTGTTTATTCTTTTCATTCTATGTAAGATAATACCCTTTGTCAAATGTTATAGAAAATATTTGTCACTACCTAAATGCAGGCTCTTTTGGGCATTCCCCTTGTTCTTTAAGAGTCTTCGAGTTGTTATCCTAATCCTTTTACTCTTGCGTTTACTGGTCTTATTTCATGTGACAAAAATATTACAATCTAGTTTCCCCTATCTTGTGGCAAATTGGTGCCATGTATAAATTCTCTTAGATATACTTTTCCAATTCATTTGTCATACTCTTTCAACTCATCCATTTGACATATCCTTACCTGAGCCATACTCACTTTATTATTGTGTTAATTTATTCATTATCCTGCATGCCGCATTTCATAAAGCATGGCCAGGCTTATACTTTTGTATAAAACTTCCTTTTAAATTTTGATTGCATGTGCAGATCAAATAGTACTCATGAAGCACATATATGCTTTATCCGATCAGCTCTGATTCTATGGATGGTCTTTTTCCTCTCTCTCATTAAAGTTGAGAGTTGATGCAGGATAGAGAATAATCATTTTTAAGGAATTTCTCCTTATTTTACTCCTATCTTTATTAAAACTAAAGCATCTTTCATATTTCTAACTTGGCATTTCTCCATCTTTAGTCTCCTCAGTTATAACAATGCCATTTGGGAATTGGTCAAAAAATCAATGCCATTTGGGAATGGCATACAGTATGAGACATTCTTCATTCACCATATAACTGAGAATGACAGGATCATATAAAAGTAAAGACACTGTTAAGGATCTATATGGACCAGTCAGCTGGAAAACTGAGAATGATAAAGTTAAAAAAATCCTCCGACTTGGTGGAGCTTAACTAGATTTTGTTCTGGGTTCAAGGAATGGTGAGACATATATCTTCTTAACTCTTCAAAAAAGAAGGAAAGAAATATGTTCAGGCATGTAAAGCTATAACCATTTTATGGCACCATCATTATGAGATTCCTGTTGCACTAAGCCAAGCATGGGATGCTTTTTGTGTCTAACTGAATGATGAAAATAGAGTACCCCAGAAAATCATGTGTAAGAATGTACAGTTGGCTGTTTTATCCCTTCAAAATGACTGGCACATTCATCAAATGTTCACCTCCCATCCAAGCTTCTTTGTCCTACCTAAGGTATGATTCACACTATTTCCACCATAGTAAAGTTAGAAAGTCACAGTAGTTGGATATATAGAATTGACAAAAACCTATGGTGCATTCTTTGGAAACTGCTGCAACATAACTCAAAACGTGAACGAACCAGTGACAAAGCGACATGAGTCATTGTCATCTTTAATGTCTTTAATTGTAAGTACACGTGAAACGTGATAGTACACTGTAACGTGAACCAATGAAAAGTAAATTGACCATATGACGTTTTTAACGTGATTGGTTGAAATTTTGATTTAATGTGCAACAATGCAAATATTTGAAATGCAGTGGGACCAATGTTTGTCATATTAAATTTCTTAATATTTGCTTTAGTCCTCTTATATTTGGATGCTGAAATGCCTGTATGTGGTAGTTATTGATGGTGGTTCTTTGGTTGCTTCTTGCTTGCTTTAATGTAATTTTCACCAACACTATTATTAATCTTGTATATGGGTTTTCATTATCATCCTCTACAAAATTCTGAAAACCGGGAAAGAAAAACTTCTTGTTATTTAAATTATTTTTGGTGAGGACAGAAGATGACATCACAACTATAACCTGCAAAATGCTAATCCTCGTTCTTTGTGACAAAAGCATATAATTTTCCTGTATATGTAGATGGCGTTCCCTCTGTAGAAAGAGCATATTCCAGTGAAGATTACTTAAAAATCACAGAAGAGCAACTAAAAGCAGCTGCTGCCCAACAGCAAGAACAGATGCCATCTCAGGAAGAGAAGTCCGAACCTCCCCCTCAGCCTCAAGGTGTGTGATTCTTCCATGGCTTTCAGTAAGCTTTTCATTTTGAGCACGTGTCTCATAAACTCATATCATATTGTAACAGCTACGGCTCCAGAAGTTGCTACTACAACGCCTCCACCACAGGGTCCTAAAACAGAGACATGAAACGACCTTGATACTAGGACAAACTGGGAACGAATGCTTCTTCCACCAAAATTTTTGAAATCCTTGTTTCAATTTTACAAAGCCATGTAGATGAAATATATTCTGTACACTAATGACAGTTTTAAAAAGTAGTGAAAGTTATGCCATGTCAATTGAACAATCCCACCTACTATTTAGTGTTCTTTTCCTGATCTTCGTTACATGTCAATCTCACCCACTATATCAAGACTTCTTTAATTTTGGATCACACGCTGCAAGTTTACGTGGACTAATCTCATCCTGTAAATTCAGACTCAAGGTCCCGAAACTTTTATAACGCAGGATTGCACTTCAACGTCGTCGGTGCTTAAGGCTGTGTTTGGTTGCTGTGCAATTTTATTTGCACTAGTACAAATGCATGAGTGCAAATGTAAAAAAAAAATGTAAATTCTCGTTTAATTTTGTTTTTGGATTCTACTTTGTTCTGCTTCATGTCTTAATTTACTTCATCTGTATTGAAGTCAAATAAAATAAGTTGAAATTTTGAAACAAAGATAGGTCAGAATTTACACTCAAATTATTTGCACTGCCACGGTTTTGCACCAGTGCAAATTTATATATATTGCGACCAGCTTAAGTTGTGTTTCGCATTAAAGTTACAACAATAGAGCTTGGGATATTATAAACAGATACAGATCAATAGAAACTTGGGACTAGACTGAGATAACGATTATGTAAGCAGGCACTGTCAATCAATAACTGTTTACTTTTTATTATTATCTTTTTCTACAACAGTTATTCTTTCCTTGAGTTGATTGCAATGCCTGGTATTTCTGTTAAGCGAAAATTAAAAAAAAAAAAAGAAAGAAAAAAGAAAATGCATGTATTTCAAGCACCATTGAGCAGAGGAAATAAGACATCAAAACATTTTCCCTTCCATTATATATTATGATAAAAGAATTACAGGACGAGGACAACACATCTTAGTGCTTGAATTTAGTTACAATAAATTGAGAGATCGATGGGAGTCGAAATCATTATGGCCTCCGCTTGCTTGTCCGCAAGATGGATTGTAACCGTAACTATCAAAAAACTTGTCATCTGAAGTTGTATTCCCAGAATCTGGTCCTTTAATGCCCCCCATTGGTGAAGCCCAGGGAGCAGGCGTTGAAGGGTTGGAGCTTGAAGCTTCTTGATTCAGGCTCAGCACATTTGGATTTTGTGGGGAGCTTATAGATGACCTTTTGTTTGTGGAATTCGTCACCGTCTGAGAAAGGGATGTTGACTGTGGCGGCTGCTGGCTCTTCTGTGGTGGTGACTTGGGTCGAAGGCTCTCTATCTCAGGCGTAGTCATTACAAGATGAGGAGCGTCTGGTGGTGGATTCCGTCCTCCTCCTCCCTGCCAAACTTTTCCATCTTTGTCGGCAAAATTCCTAACATATGCCTGCAGGATTAATGTCCCCAAAATCCTCAGAGGCAATGGCAGAAAAGATAAGAGTCTATGATAAGCAAAAATATTTATAAAACGAAGTCATCCAATAGTCCCTGAAACCCCCATTATTAAGTGGTGCAAATGAATTTTGATTAATTCTTTTACAAAGTTAGGACGGCAAAGCTTTGCTCAAAAATATTTTACCTCTGCATTGAAGTTTGAGGAAGATAATCCTTTTCCTACAGTCAGCCAACCTGATCGAATATTATGATCTTCACCAAAGAGTTCAATCCTCCTGCGTCCAAGAGCAAAATGCTCAATTATCCGGTACAGATCTTCAGGTTTTGTTGTTGAACCTGCAATTCCATTGGTAAAATGGTTCACTTAAGATCAGAACAGGAACATGTATGCAAGATCCTGCAACTATAGAGATGCAAACGAATTTTGATTGAATTGGATATACCTAGATCCAATTTTGAATTTGAATAAAATATTATCTATCAGATTTAGATTGGATTTGGATCAGATCTGTATATTGAACATCATTAATAAAGTAATAATAAATTTGATATTTTATATCATCAATAAAATGACAAAAATAACTTCCATGAGGTTTGAATATATGATTCTTTAGTTATAAACAACATCCAAACCAAGTAACCAACTTTACCAATAGATACGTACAAGGTTTATGTAGAAAAGGCATATACATATAAATGCAGTTGACATATAAGATTTGAATTGGAGCAGATCCATATTCGATCCAATTATAGACAGATTGAGTTCAAATCATCTTTAATCAGATTGGATTTGAATTCAAATTTGGGAAAACGGATATTATTTGCAGCCCCATGCAACTCCTTATTTCTAAACAACACAAAGATAGCTGGATGCAAACTCATTCTCTGTGACCAAGTAAATGAAGCATATATAGGCCATGCATGCAGTTGTTATCTGCACATGTTTTGCTCATATGAAAGCTGTCCCACACAAAATTATAAATACTAACCATAAGGAGGTTCTTCAGCAATAATTATATCTGTGTCAATGTTTGCATGGATGATATGACCATCAGTGCTTCGCCGAACAGTTCCTTTTATGCCCATCAAGCAATGCTCCTTCGTCCACAAAAAGAAAGGGAACAAAGAGGTAAGCTAACAGGTTTATCCTTGAAAATTAAAAGACAAATTCTACCAACCTTTGAGTGTTGAAACAAAGTATGAGAATCATGCCGCAAGCCTGGAGTTGCATTAGTTTTGTTCGTCTTCACCCAGCATATATCCTCACATCTACGGAATCCCCACTACATAACAAGTAAAAGATGCCAAAATAAATAAAGACCAATGAACATATCATAATCTCACAAAATGTAATGATATTTTGTGGGTCCTGAGAATTGAAGTGAACAAATTCAGCATGATATCAAATTCTCAAAGAAGTTCCCCTGTAAAACCCTCTTCCCAAATCTCAAATTTTCAATATGGCTGATAGAGTTCAAATCAATGTGATTGGTTATTGACCTGGTTGGTTGGACTAGTGACCTGGTCAAAATTCCTGGTTCAGGTTAACCTCTAACCTGCTATATTACAAAAAACTGTTGACAGTCAATAATCCGTTGACCTGAGCAGTTAAACTGTTGACCCATTCAATTTGTTTCTGCCTTACCAGTTATGTATTATTTTGACATTTTTGAAAAATTTCGTAATGATGACTTCATGGGTTGACCTGTTGACCCAGAGGAAAAGGCAGTTCAACCTCGGCCAGTTTTAAAACAATGATTCAGATGGGGCCAACACAAGTACATTTTTTTAATCCTCACTGATAACTGTTCCATAAATATTTTTGCATTACTAACATACATACCTTCTTTAGACACTGCCGTCCCTGCTCAAGACCCACACCATCACCAACCCAAAGGAAGATAAATGAAGGTGTGTCTGCGATTGCCTGACAAATTGAAGGATCAATATTTAGAATTCAAATCTGAGATTTGTGAAAGAGAATGATTTGGAAAATGACTGATGTAGGCAAGCACTTTTTTATGAGTATTAGGCATGTGCTTTTTGGTAACTGATGATATCAAATATTTGGCAAATCTTAACATATAAAGGAAAAACTCACTAACAACAATAAAATGCTTTCAATGCCCCCAAGGAAAAATAAATTGTAACCTCTCAACACTAGTTGTAGTCTGTAGAATATGAGAATGATAATAGGAAGGTCTACAGAAAGGAATATGGGGTGGATACCATGACTAACCCACAATATTGGGGTGCATTATTATCGTATTCGTCACATATTCTTTCACATAAATCAACATAGTCTCAGTTACTAATAAAAATAATGTGCATGTAAAGTTCATATCAAGTGGATTACATTGAGGAGGTAACATATAACAAAGGATTAAAATATTGATACAATACACCTTATACAAGGTGTATCGTATCAGTATCAGTGTACCCAGATACACTTGAATACACTGATACACAGGGTTTTTTAAAATGCTTAAAAGGTCTCAGATTCTCTTCCTAAACAATCACAATAAAATTAAAAAAAATAATAAAAATAAATAAAATAGGGTGAGCACCACTCGTATCGATACACATCGATACCCATGTTTGGGAATTGGGAGCATCTATATTTTAACCCTTGCATGTAACTTTACTGCCGTGTGTTATCAGCAACCTTTGAATTTTGTGCTAGAAAAGATAAGGCAGATACAGAAGAATATAATACAAACCTCAATTTTAAGGTTTAGAATTTCCTCAAATGTCCAGTACTCCATATGGTCAGCAACACCAGGTGCACGATGAACATATTCCTCCCAAGGTGGGTCCACAAGGATGACATCAAACTTGGTTCCAAAAAACTCTGGAGATAAGACATTCTCACGCAGGTCACACTTATAATACATGGGAGGGGAAGCAGATTTAGCCACAATCTCATCCTTCTTCTGAATAAGTTCTCGCAGTTTGGGGTAGTCCTCTACAACACTGGTAAGCTCCAGCTCCCTAATAAAATTTTGGGGTCGCATACCAGTGTCGACAAAATTTTGGGAGTAATCATTTTGCTCTCCTCTGGAAGGAGCTTTACCAGCTGGTCCATTAATTCTAGGAGGAACCCAGGCCCCAGGACCTTTATCATGAGGGGCTCCTCGTCCAATTCCACCAATAGCATTAAAACCTGGGCTGGGTATGTTTGGGGACACTCCTCTTCCAGGGCCTGGTTGATTGAAATACATAGCAGGGTTTGGACCAGTCCCCATTCCAGGGGCAAATCTAGGTCCCGATGGTCCATGAGGAACAGGAGAAAGGCCAGGAGGGACAGCTAACATATTAATATCAACACCTCTAGCCCCTGGCCAAACAATGGGGGCTGGAAAGGGTGGAATAAAGACATTTGGTGTAATGGGTGGACCTGGAGCAGGAGACATGTTTGGTCCAAGTGGCTGCATAGGTCCTGGTGGTAGACCAAGAGGGGCAAAGGGTGGCCCTAACATAGGCAGTGGTGGGATTGCAACCCGTTGGGCTTCCCTCCCTGTAGGTCTTCCCCTTCCTCCTCTCCCAAGCCTATTCCCCTTTGCTCCCTGTGGAACAGCTCTATTGAAGGAACTCAATCCCTGATTATTTCCAAATGGAGGTTGTGAACCACCACTAAAACTCTGACCTCCCCCAGTGCGATTGGAACTCATAGCACCCTTTTGTCCTCTTCCTTTCCCACCATGCATGTCAATGTTATTCCTACCATTCTGATCCAGCATAGGGGAACCATCATCTAGATATCTTTCCTGCAGATCATCTCCATGGACATATATTTCAGACATTCTTGCTCTGTCTTCAGGCAGATAACCCCAATCCTCATCACTTGTGGCTGAAGTAAAATCAGGTTGCTGACTCCCATCGGTCCTTCTCCCAATAAATGTAGATCCAGACTCTTCTCTTCCATAATCAAGAGGCTTGGTTTGGATCTCTATTGTATCAGAATTCTCATTTGCAGTACCAAAGCTTGATGAAGTTTTTGCACCTTCAGTCCTCCTGTCTTTCCTGAACCCACCCCGGTTGTGAAACTTTTCATTATCGGCCCTCTCACGCTCACGCTCATGCCTCTGCAAGTCCCACTCCTTATCATGATCAAAATCACCATCCCCATCTTTTGTCTCTTTATCTGTGATGCCATGATGCCTTTTCTTCCAAATATCCCTTGAACCTTCCCAATCCCTGTTTCTGTCACTCCAGCTACTATCTCTTGCTTTTGATCTTTCATCCCTGTAACCCTCCTTTTCTCTTTCCTTTCCCTTCAAGTTGATTCTTCTTTCACTATCTGAACCAGAATCATTTGATTCCTGGTGGCGCCTGCTATTCTTCTCAGGACTTCGGGACCTTTTGGAGTACCTCACATCCCTCCCATCTCTGTCCCTTGCCCGTGCATGGCCGTCTTCATCTGTGTTGACAGACCTCTCACGGCTTTCAGCCAAGTCACGGCTACTATGTGCAGAGTCCCGCTGCTGTCTATGCTTCTCAATCTTATCCCCATGAACCCTTGCGCTTGGCCTATGAACACTAGACTCATCCTCCACAAATGCACCTAATTTATCTCCAATCCTCCTCTGCTTATCATCTCTAGGCCCACTGGATCTCTCTTCACGAGCAATAGAATTTTGCCTACTATCGTCTTCCTGAACCTCAGACCTGCCTCTCCCCTTGCTCCTATCCCCATCAAGCTTTTTCTCTTCCCTGTTCCCAGCTTTGTTGCCCTTATCACTGTTTGAATCTACAATCCTGCTTTTGCTGTCAATAGGTTCATCTCTTGCATCTGTATTTCTCTCTCTACCCTTAAGTTCAGAAGTCTTCCCACTCCTTGATTCAGATTTATCTGCATAGTTACTTTCTTCTGCTTTCCTAACTGACTCAGAATCATCCCATCTTCTCCTTGGGTTTCTCTCCTGCTCACGAGATCCACGACCTTTCTCCCTGCTGCTCTCATTTCTTTCAGAATACCTGGAATCTCTATCCTGCATCTTTTCAAGCTCACCATCATGAGAATTTTCCAGCTTGCTTCTGCTTTTGCTCTGAGAACTTTCATGAGCCGAAGGTTTTGAACTTGTTTTCCTTGACGAGATCCTCTCGCCTTCCTCAATTGGGCCATGCCCTTTGCTCCCTGAAGCATCTCTCCCCTTTCGACTGCTTTCTGATTCTCTATCTTGATACCCATTACTTGAATTCTTTTCAGTTCTGTCCTCTTGGTTTTTCTTCATCTGCTTTTTTCTTATATCATATTCATCTTCATCCTCACTACCCGTCCTGTTTGAGCCACCTGACCTCTTTCGACTTTCATTTCTGTCCCCTAAACTCTTCCGTTTGCCACTGCTATCCCATTCTTCAGTTTCTTCTGCGTTGCAATGCTTTCTCGACTTGCTAGAACGGTGCTTCCTCTTGTCACTGCCTTCCCAGTCTTCCTCGTCTACAATCCTTTCACCCTTCATATCTGAGTTATCCTCAATATCTCGTTTCATGTAACTCCGACTGGGTTCAGGCGCATCCATTGCACGTGAAGGCCCTAACTACGCGGTTGTCTTTTTTTCTGTGCTTAGTTCTAATACAATCTAAAAGAACAAGTAATGAAAGAAAGGAGCGCTTTGGTCCTTCCAATTGCTGGACGAATTGCAGAATAATTCCATCAACAGGCCATCCTGAACAAAAAAAGAGAGAAGAAAACAAAAGAAAGTGTAAGGAAATTAAGCACAGGTTTTCTCCTTTCTAGACAATAATTAGCCAAGTGCATTCACCAATAAGAGCACAACCAAGTTTTCAGAAGACAAACTGGGACTACCCTCACAAAGGCTACTACTGATCCCAACTTTTGAATTCTGACTGAACGAGATCCGAACAGAAAACATATGCCTACCCAATCCAAATTAAACCCTAAAAGTTAAATCCCACACAAAGAAGTATACTGAATCAGCCGACTCACACAACACTAAAATACAACTGAACATCAAATGATTAAATCGGTCCTATTTCACAAGGAAAACCTAGAAATTGAATCAAATCAAACACTTGGTAATCAAACTCATGATAAAACCAATATAAGAATCTACAAGCCTGGCCCAGATATGCGCCTTGGGGGAAAAAAGGTATCACATCCAGAGTTCCAGTCAACACACAAGCAGCCATAACTATGATTCAGTAAAAAACAGAAGAAAAGCAATAACGTCCGACCAACGTCGAAAACGAAAGAAAAAGCGAAACACAAAATAAAATACGAGAGAGTGGGCAAGAGAAATTAGTAAAGTGTAAGAAGAAGCAAATGGATCGAAGAAGAGAAGCATACCTAGTTTGTCGCTGAAACCCTAGAAAACCCTAAATCGGGGTTTCCAGGTTCGAATGCTCAGGAAAGCCGAAGAAGAGGGGAGATGGCATGGTTATTTTCGTTTATTTAATAAATTATTTGTATTTGTATTTGTTTATTTGAAAAAAAAAAAAAAATAGGAGATCTTATTTAAGGGGGGCGGAACCGGAACGCGAAAGACAGGATGCTTCCCACTGAAATGCGCTGGGGTGTGTAATACGCTCATACAGGGTCGGCTGTCGACTTTTAAACGTGTACGGTGGCGTGTGGGACCCGTGTATGTTTGCCACCCAATCACAATGCGGTTGGAAGCTCCAAGCCTCCAAGCATTTGAGTTTAGACCTGCTAACCACGATACGTTAACGTTGGTAGTATCCTATTCATATGATACTACAGCCGCCCATCGGGAATATCTTTGTTTGCCTTCAGCCATCTCACACGTTTTCATTGTAAAGTGAAACTCGCTCTCACACGTTATCGTTAACATATGTGAGTCATGGGTCCCAGTGTGTTCATTCATCTAATCGGATTATCTGACTGATTTTTTTAACAGAAATTATCAAAAACTCCCCTGATACCTCTCTCCAAAGACCCCTATCCCACACATTTACGTAACATATTTGACCTTCTGCCGGGAGGTTACGTTACTAAGCGTTTCAGAAATTGTCATCACGTTTCTTTATTAATTTTCAGGGTAAATTACATGTGACCACCCTATACTTGGGAGGTGGTAAGACTGTGGATTTGAGTCGAACCGAGCCAAATATTAGGAGGCTCGAATTTGACTTGCCAAAGGTAGTATAAGGCTCGAGCTCGAGCTGGACTCGAGTCAAAATTCGTAAGCTTAAGTTCGATTCGTCTCAAGTTTGATTTGAGAAAAAATATTTTATAAAAATAAAAATTATATATAAAAATATTTTTATTTGATATTTAAAAAATTAAGAATTATAATATTTTTATTATATATATTATTTTTTATAAGCTTATTATATATATATATATACATACATATATACATATATATAAGTTCAAGCTTGGCTCATTTATTAATTGAGCTTGTAAGTTGGGCTCGAGTTTGACTCAAAGCTCGATTAAAACCAAGCCGAGCCGAGCTCGAATAACTCATGAAGAACTCAACTCGTGGCCACCCCTACTTGTCTCCCTGAACTATTAGATTTGTGACAAAAAACCTCCTAAACTTTTAGATTTCAACACTTCACCCTGATCCGTTAAAAAGTTGATGGTGAAAGTAAAATTATTAAATTGCCCCCTTTGAGATTTTATGGAATAACAAGTTAACAACAACAAATATCAAAGTGATGAAAAGGTACAAATGTTCTCAATGCATGGCTGTCAAGATGAACCTTGTCCAAAGAAAGTTGAGAGAAACATGTGATTATCAAGATTTCAAGTTAAAACTTAAAAGGGCAAAGGTTTCATAAAATAATATAAGAGTAGTTTGGGACTGGGGTTTTAAAAATGTTTAATGAAATACTCCATGAAGTTAATTGAGAGGATACCAATAGTGGAAACAAAAGTGTTGGAATCCAAAATTTAGGGGTCTTTGTCACCAAGCAAAGTTGAGGGTTGTGTCATACCCCAAAAATATAACGTGGTTGTTTGTAGTTTATCCTAAACTTTACATGACAAAAAGGCCACTAACATAATGTTTCTATTTTTCCAGGATCCCCTCAAGTTTTATCATCTTATTCCTACATGATTTCAATTTTCAACTAAGGTGGCATTTGATAAATCTAAAATTTGAAATATGAAAAGTTAAAAAGATGTTATTCGGGTCCGAAATATGAAAAGAAGTATAGATGATTTTCTGCTTTTTAGAGGTTATGAAAAGATAAGAACATTTGAGTTGGAACAGTTCTCCAACATCTGAAATTGTGAACCTTACTATTTTACCCTTAAAAATAAATTGTTTGATAATATTATAAATAATAAAAAGGATATTAAATAAAAATAGTATTTCATTAATAAACAAATATTATATTTTTTGAAATAAAATAATTATTTAATATTTAATTAAAAATAATACTTATTTATTTATTATTAAGTAATAACAAATAAAATATTTTAATTATTACTAATAAACATATTATGAAATATTCTTATTACTATATAAATATCAATACTAAATATTATTGTTTATTTAAATTAAAATGATATTATTATAATTTTATATTGGTAATTATTTAATAGTAGTATATTTATTATTAGTATTTTTATTATTAAATAATATTAAATAAATTGTTATTATTATTATTAAACATATTATTAGTTAATAATATATTTAAATAACTATTATAATATAAATATTTATTAGGTAATAATAAATTATTAATAAAAATTATGTAATAATAATATTTAAATAAATAATAATATTATTATTTATTATTACTATTATAATTATTATCATTATAAATAAACATACTATCGTTTATTATTGTTGTTGTTGTTGTTATTATTATTGTTGTTGTTGTTATTGTTAAACATATGACAATAATGAGGGCATTAATGTCATTTTATCACATATGAAATGTGTCTGATTTTGGTAAGACAAACTAGGTCTTACCAATTCATATCTGAATGTGTTTTAGATCCTCTAATCATACCTAGACTCAAACACCACTAGCATCTAAAAAGCAAAGCTTTCAGATTTGGTTTTCCAAATCAAACAACATTTATATTTATATTTATAGACATGATTTCAAGCAAAGAAAGGGGAATAAGGGGAATTCCATGTTTACTATTTATTCATGACATCTTCCATTATTGTTAAATAATCTATTCTTAAATAATCCATTAGTTATGAAAACTATTAAAAATTTCTGAAAAATATTCTACCAAAATATGAAATAATTATTTCAGAAATAATCCATTACTTAACAAATAATTTAATAATCTACCAAAAACTAATAAACATCGCATTATTTAACAATTTTTGGTTATTAATAAATGTTCAAAATTTCAACGTTTAGCGTAATTTACTTTATCATTGTAATTTAATAAAATTTCATTAAATTTTTACAATAATAATTTATTGATAAAAGATATTACTAATTTCTATAAAATCAATAATTATAGTCAACAATTATCAAATAATTTAGGGAAAATCTTTAACTAATAATCCATAATTATTTTTTAAATAAGTAATTAAAAAATTAAGAAATTAATCTATAAAAAATTATTCAAATTTATTTAAATAATAATCCATTATTATTATTCAACTAAATAATTATTAAAAATTAGGAAAATTAAATTAGGGAATTAATCTATCGTAAATTGTTTCATAATTATTTAAATAGAAACCCATTATTATCATTTCAATAAATAATGGTTAAATAATTTAGGAAAATTGTTAAGTCTATCCACACCGATCTAGACCACTTGGTTAACTTCGATCATACTTGGTTTTACATTAATTAACAACAAATGGTTTACTTTTAATAAAAAATAATGTAATTTACCATAATCACATTAATTTACTATAATTATATTTACTTTGATTAATAGTAAATAATTTACATTAATTTATTGTTATTATAAATAATAATTTTACTATACATTACTATTAATCAATAGCAATTTCAATATTCTTTTTGGAAATTATCATAAAATATTATAATTTATTGTTAGTTAATTAATTATAGAAAATTATTAGAATGGTAGAGATGGCAATTTTCCTTGTAAAACTAGGGCTCTATCCTGCCACGCCCCGAACAGGGCAAGTTTTCTCAAATCTTAAACGAGGACAAGGCAGAAACAGAGTGGTGATAAGGAGAATATTTTTGCGCCAAATTAGGGATGGGGTTTGCATATAATTCCCCAAACTAGATGGTAAATTAGTAAAATATCCATAGATTTAATATTGATTTTTAAAATATGTCTATTTTTTCTTCATATTCTTATAATCCTAGAATCCCATAATTTCATTTATAAAATACCCCCAAATTCATATAATCCTATTTGTAAAATGTCCATATATTAGATTTTTTAGGTAATTGCATGTCTCAACGTGGGGAAATTTTAGGGGTTCCCCATCCTGATGGGGAATGGGTGCCTCGCCCCAAACGCGCCCCGCCACTAGGAGGGGTGCTCCATCCCGTGCATCGCACGGGCCCCCACTAGTCTCTCTCCATCCCTTTGTGTGTGTGTGTGTGTGTAATAGTAACTAGAAAATTTATCCTTTTCTTTAATTTTTTTTATTTTTTAATCCATGTCATTTTAGAAGCTACCAATTAGAAACTCTATTTTCCCCAAAAAAAATCTTCCTAAAATCTCGCCCCCCCACATGTTCCAATAACCTAAATAATCTAATACATAAAATTTACTTTAAACAACCTCCCCCACTATCCCCAACTTTCTCATAAGTTATCTCTAATTTAGTAGAGAGTTTCTCTCCTAAATTATCTCTAATTCTTATTTATCTTCTCTCCTACTTTTATGATATTAAAAAAAATTAAGACTTATTAAAATATTCTAACAAAATTATATAATAACTTTAAAATACTTATTAAAAATAAAAAATAATTATAATTGATTTAATAATATTCATATTATTAATAATTATTTTTACAAAATTCATCACAAAATTATGTACAAACAATATAAATTGTTATTTTCTGGATTATTCAATCCAAATGTTATTTAAATAATAAAATTTAACATTAAAAATGAAATGTTATTTAAATATTTCAATAACTAAATATCTTAAATATCAAAATATTAAAATTAATATTTTAAATCAATTAACAATATGTTTTAAATAGTTATTGAATAACTTTCAATTATAATAAATAGATTAAGATTTTAAATATTTAGTTAAATAACTAAATATTTTAAATAACGAAATCTTTAACATAACAAGATTATCAATAGTTAAAATAAAAAAATTATGTATTAATGGTACTATAACTTTATGGATTATTAACTTCAACAAGTAATTAATATTTCAAAATTTAAATAATGATACTATTTCAATAAATAAATAACAGTGTAAACAACTAATTTAATTTATACCAATTAATAATTCTAGAAAATAACTTTCAAAAAAAATTATTGTTTATTAATAATAACTTTAAAATCTTAATAA